CTACTAGTAAGGCACTTGTTACTAGAAGCGATGCACTTGTTACTAAAGCCTTTCCATTTGCTTCTGGTTGTAACTCGTTGAGACCTGTGACCTTTCAAAAAGCGTTGTAGAAGACCTCTCTGAATGAATCTCTCGCGCATAGGAAGCACACGTGCACAAGAAAGCGTGCCTGTTAGTCAGAAAGGACAGGTCCGAATGAGAGCGGCTACGAAGAAAGAAACAATTAAAGAAAACTAATCGCGATGGCCTCCGGCCAGCTGTCCTTTGGAGGCTGCAATGATGGTGATAAGGATTATCTTTTCCTCTTTCACGTTTCGATGCTTCACAAGCACCTCCCCAGCTTTTCGATGTGCGGCGAGATGCGTAAAGGAGTTTTTCTGAACTGCTCGGAAGCTGATCGACATTGCAAAGTGCAAGGCGGTTTCCTGCTGTTTTTCCCAGCAAGTACTTGATCCAAATACACCGAGAAAGCTTCAGGTGAATGCCTCAAGCATCAATGAAGCCCTTTAGAACACAAAAGGGAAGGTGTGAAGGGAAAGGGCTGGAAATGGCACGTTGCCAAATCCCTTGAACCGTTCCACTCCACTCCAGCCTCAATGGCAGAAGCCACGGTGTTGCCGCTGGCAAGGATGGGGTCCATCAAGAGCACATGACGCTCCGCGATGTCGTAGGGCAACTTCTCATACAACACATGCAAAGACCTCGAAAAGCGCAGCTCGCTGTGGTTTGGTCTCAGTTCACCAACTCCAGTCGAACACTTCCGGAGTAAGAAGCTTCTTTCTTCCTGGCTCTCACAACATCTATGTGGTTCGGTCAATTAGCACCCTTTTTCAATTGTTTGCATGTAAAGAGCTTTGAAGGAGAAAACCCAAATGTGTGAGGTGAAGGGAAAGAGCCTTTGCTTTGGAACCTTCAAGAATAAGTTGTGTCTTGGTGGTGTAGTCTTGGATTGACGGAAAAAAAAAGATATGAGAAAGAAGTGCAGCAAATGTTAAGCCGAGACTTTCAAGGGCGGGGAATCCCTCAAGGACTGAAAGTTAGCATCGCACTTCATCTGAAGCAAATGCTGATCCGGCCAGTCGGCCCAGATGGGTTCTCAATACTTTCTGACCCTTCTTGACCTTCACAAACCTGCGACTTCACAGAAGGATTCTTGCGCGTCCAAATTGCAAGCCTGGGGTACCCTATAGACCTACAAAACCTTCTTGTCTGTAGCAGCAACGGGAAGCAAAGATCGCGATCCCCAGTCTTGAACTCTTTTGGCCTCTCTTTGCCCACTTGATCAATCAAGATCTTGCCGATCTTCACCTGAGACATTTTGTTTGGTGGATCTAGAAAGCGTTTTGTAAGGAAAACAAGAAAGAGAACACACACAAAAAAGTAATAGTACATATATATATATATATATGTTCTATAAGAAGCAGAAAGAATTGACGCACAAAAGAGGCACTGTCTATATGCCTTTGTTTCCTTTGTCTGTCGTTCCTCTTTGCATTTGCTGCTGTGGTATCCTTTTGGCCTCGAGACCTTTCTTCTCCCTTTTCTTCCGTTATTTATTTCTTGTTTGTTTCTAATAGCGATGGCCTCCAACCTAATAATTATGGCCTCCAACCTAGTAGACTCCACCCTAATAGCCATGGCCTCCAACCTAGTAGCCTCCACCCTAATAGCCATGGCTTCCCACCTTATCGATGGCCTCCGCCCTAATACCCATGGCCTCCACCCTAATAGCGATGGCCTCCACCCTGCTAACGATGGCCTCCAACCCAATAGCGATGGCCTCCACCCTAATAGCCATGGCCTCCAACCTAATAGCGATGGCCTCCAACCCAATAGCAAACTTTTGTTTCTGTTATTTTTTCTTCTTTGCTCTCAGTCTGTAACAAACTCCTCATATTGGCCGAGGGGCACCAATGCAACAGGTCCGCAGGGCATTTTCCATGGCCTCGCCCGAGCGAATGATGGAGACACCGCAGATTCGCCGGCTGAACTCCACACCTCGCAGGGCTTCGTCCAGTCACTTCTTTGGTTGGAGGCCATGGCTAGTAGCTTGGAGGCCATCGCTATTAGAACGCACATCATTGCTCAGTAGCTTACCTCCTTAACCTTTTTAGCTTGCTTAAGCCCACTCTTACGGCCTAGCCCCGCCCCCACGGCCCAAAACGAGAAAAAGAAAATGGATCTGGAACCGCACCCTGGTAGGGCTCGCCCACCGGCGTTAGGACCTCGGTCTCCAAGAAGGGCAGATGGCCTAAGGCCGCCTCCACTACCAAGCGGATGAGCCGGTCTGCGTAGAACACGAACTCCTGGAAAACATCGAATTGGTTTTGACACTTCCACGTAAGGCCAGGAGCCCCTAGGGGCCTCTTGTTCCTAAAGAAATCGACCTTGTTTCGTGTCTTTCTTTGGGCGACCTCCATTACGAGTATTTCTGCCGTTGTCTCTATTTTCCTGTTCTTTTTCTGCGGAGGTAGGCTGTTGGGAACTGAGGGGAGGACTGGAGAAGTAAGAGGTGGCTAGCTTAGTGGCAAGCTGGCTAAGCTACTCCAAACACAGAAAGGCTCGCATTCTCCGCATGGTCGAATTCTTCCTAGCAAACTTGGTTTTGAAAGCTTTTTTCTTATGTTTTTCCTCTCGTTATGAGGTCATGAACCATGCGGTTAGCTGGATTCTGAGCACTGCGTTCGCAAGTACACTAGGGGATAGCACTATATTGCACAGCCACTTGCCTTTGAATAGCTCATGCTACTCTATGGCGACAACCATTCAACACGAACAGCACAACTTCTCACAATTCGAAGCACTTCAATCATGTATAGTTTGAAATAAGATCCATATTCCACGTGCAGCCCTCCAGAGTCACATCACAGGTTTTGCAAAAGACATGTTGCCCTTCTTCATCGAATTAATCCATGGAAGGACTCCCTTGTTTTTTGAAAGACTGCAGCGATGATAGCCTAGCAGGTGACACCAGCACAACCAACTACATGGTTTCACGCCGTGCGCCTGTCGGCAGGTATCACGGGAACGGATCTTGGTGTGCATGCCGCGGGTCTGCATTGTGGCCGGCATGATGTAAAGATTGGTAAAGATCCGCAGCAGCTCGTGCATGCCTCGCGCTCAAAAACCGAAAACCAGTTTATGACGGTCATGGCCGCTCATGCCATAACACCATTCAGTCTGCAACGCTCGACTTACCCTGTGAAACGTGTTTCCCCTTTCTTATTCTTCTGTTTTTTTGTTTTCTCCTTTCGGTGGAGCTTTAAGGTTCCTACTTGTGTATGAAGATAATGTGGAATTGAACGCTAGGATGATCGACTTCATGGGATGTTAGCAGGACCCACGACCTCCTTCAGTGCCGGTTCCGCACCTAACTTGGTGCGGATATGTTGTGTAATGAGGTCAGTGGCCACGGCGTTGTTTTCTCGCCAGGGGATCACGATGTCCTCACATGTCATGAGTCTGTCGTCATAAGACCCCTTGTTCCAGTTGTGAACTGAATGCGGAAAGTTTCAACTGTCTACGCCAATGCACTTACACATGTCTAGTTTCCTCTTAGACCGTCTACTAGTTTCCTTTGTTTCGACCTCCACAGCATCTTTCCAGTGAGAAGAGTTTTCATCGAGCCGCCGCATTGTTTCGGCTGGGCAAAATGTACTTCTCGAAGGACGGCTTTACGAAGCGCGTGTACTGCTTGATCACCGCTTCTACATCCCTCCCACCTGAGACGAAGCACTTTCTATCGCAAGAACTCAAGTCTGCAGCTCATCTGGCTGATCCGACTTCCATCTAGTAACAAGTGCATCGCTACTAGTAACAAGTGCCTTACCACTAGTAACAAGAAGCTATTAGAAACAAGTGCATCGCTACTAGTAACAAGTGCCTTACTACTAGTAACAAGAAGCCATTAGAAACAAGTGCATCGCTACTAGTAACAAGTGCCTTACTACTAGTACCAAGAAGCTATTAGAAACAAGTGCATCGCTACTAGTAACAAGTGCCTTACTACTAGTAACAAGAAGCTATTAGAAACAAGTGCATCGCTACTAGTAACAAGTGCCTTACTACTAGTAACAAGAAGCTATTAGAAACAAGTGCATCGCTACTAGTAACAAGTGCCTTACTACTAGAGATGAGAGGTCGTCGCCGGTGTGCTTCTTCTTACTAGCGATGGCCTCCAACCTAATCTAATAGCGATGGCCTCCAACCTACTAGCGATGGCCTCCAACCTACTAGCGATGGCCTCCAACCTAATAGCGATGGCCTCCAACCTACTAGCGATGGCCTCCAACCTAATCTAATAGCGATGGCCTCCAACCTACTAGCGATGGCCTCCAACCTAATAGCGATGGCCTCCAACCTAATCTAATGGCGATGGCCTCCAACCTAATAGCGATGGCCTCCAACCTAATCTAATAGCGATGGCCTCCAACCTACTAGCGATGGCCTCCAACCTACTAGCGATGGCCTCCAACCTAATAGCGATGGCCTCCAACCTACTAGCGATGGCCTCCAACCTAATCTAATAGCGATGGCCTCCAACCTAATAGCGATGGCCTCCAACCTAATCTAATAGCGATGGCCTCCAACCTAATGGCGATGGCCTCCAACCTAATAGCGATGGCCTCCAACCTACTAGCGATGGCCTCCAACCTACTAGAAATTCCGATGTGACGAATCCCTTACTCCCAATCTTCCCCCGTCACCAAGGGGCGCTCCACCGTGTCTCGGCGGATACGACGCGCCAAGCGCACGTCGTCGTCTGTGTCAACGAAGATCTTCATGTGACAACGGCGGAGAGTCCTGAACATGGGGGCATCAAGAACAGCTGAAAAAGCTCCAGAAAGGATCGTGTTGACTTCATTGATGTAATGCAGAGGAAGTATGCATCAGTCAAGAAGCTTGCTGTCCTTTCACAATCCTTTCAAGAAAATCAGTTGGAACATGACACGAAGTCAGTTCAGGCCAGGTTTCGGCTCCTCTTGGGTGGAAAAACGAACGTCAGGAAGCCGACTTTTTAACGAGAAAGATAAAAATATTTCCTTTGTCTTTTTTTGTCGGTTGTCTCGTCCTCTCTTTTCTGTTTTGCTTAGACATTTGGACCGTCCTTTCTTTCTGTGTGTCTTTTCCTTTTTCTTTGGAAAGCCAGGTTGATATACAAGCAGGTCGGTCGAAGCAGAAACGCATTGACCAAAAGCAAAAGCCTGAAGTCTCCAGTTTGTTCAACGCCCCTTTTGCCGGGTTGGAAGGCGTGGAAGATGAGGAGTACAAGAACTAGCAGGATGAGCTTCGTGAGCCAAGAATCTCAGGAAGATGAAGTACCAGAATGCCCTCCAAGATCACCTTGAGGATTTTCAACGAAAAATGAAAAGAATTGCCTTGAGGGAAAGATTTCTATCGGCAGAACAGTGCATCCTGTACACTTCCATTGTTTCTAGCCAACCTCAACCTCGAACCTGATTGTGTATATTTTAAAGTGTAAAAGGATCAGCATAGAAATCTCTCCTCAAAAAGGGCATGGCGGCATGGGATTTCTTGGATGGGAATTGACTGACCAAGTGTAGGAGTGGTGCGTGACAAGCATAAAGTTCATGATAGCAATGATACCGCCTTCATGAAGGAGAACCCTGAGAGTGAAAGCCAATGGACCTCCAATCTAATAGCGATCTTGCTCCTAGAGCGATGCCAGGAGCTACTAGTAGCTTCTTTGCTCCT